CGGAACAATATGAGGGAAAGATGATTCTGAGAAAGAAAAAATTAGACAGAAATGTTTTTTTCTTCAAATGATACCATTTTAGTAAATAGAAATAGCATAAAGCAGAATATAACTTGTTTTTCATACTTTTTATGCTTTGAAAACACAGACTTACCAGCTTTATGAGAGTAGATGGGCTGAATTTGTGCAGGCAGCAACAATACCGGTACCTTTATCACTGGAGAGACAAGAGATCTGCAAATCAGACATTGATGCTCTTTCATCTAAATTCACTTCTGATGGCTACAAATCATTAATGTAGAGACAGCCTCAGTACTCACACAGTCTGATACAGAGAGCTGTGACCTCCATGTTGTCTTGCTGCCGACTGTCTGAGCATGGGACTGAATGAGGGTTAAGATACAGCACAATGTAGGTGTGCACTTCCTTTTCTTGTGCAGCTTATTTCTGGGGACTGGGGCCATTCAGAGGACAGCTCTGACTTTCTCTGTGTGACAGAGCTACACTGAGAAAAATAACTGCAGCCTTTCATAGCTGGTGCTAGAAAACCTTACAAACTTTCGTGCAGAATTACTTGTTAAACATCAACATGTTAATAGTGTTATTGTTGGCATGTTGCGATAGAAGAAGTAAAAATCTGTTTCAGGTAGTACTGAACACAAAAGTATTTTTTACAGCTTTGAAAGCAAATACATGTAATGTACACCTGCAGTCAAAACTCTAATGCAACCTGTATTAGATGGAAATAAATTATAAAGTCAACACAGATTAACTGTTATCATGTGGGAGGGGTCAAATCATGTGTACTCTCACATGATTTGAGGACTTTAACCGTGCAGCCTACTTTCCCCGGTGGTTAGCCAACTCTTTGACTCAAACAACAGGTATGTAGGCTTTTTACTTTTAATACCTTAGTTTTATTACAATAGTTTAATAACATGTAGACCCTTAGCTGGTAAAAATACATTATAGCATGTTTGTAGGGTAAAAGCCATTCTGCCATCAAAGTTGGCTGAAAGGTATTTTTGTATTGGTGACTTTTGCACAGTTTTATTATAGATCATGGCGCACAATAACTATTTATTTGAAAAGAGTGCTGCGCTGATTATTAAAAATATTCAAGATGTATTTAACAAGTAACAATCCTGTCACTCAAGTCTTTTTTTTTGCATGAAAATGTCAGTTATTACACTCAACATGTGGTTAATTTTTAACCAGGTAACCAGGACTGCACTGAAGTTTGTTTAGTTAAAGATTAACAGGGGACAGCAGTATGAGTATGAAACTGAAAGTGTGCTTTTTTAACAACCAGAATCTTGTTTGTACGTGAACATGGACACAAAAATAACAGACAAGCAAAGGAAACTGGAGGTGGGGATGTTGTCTGGTGTAACTTTAATAGACAACAGATAACACTTACTAAAACAGATTTGTACACATTCTTTTTGTGTAGCAATGAGTACAAATAAATAAGTGAAAGGAAAATAGAACACAAACACTTTTTAAAATTAACTGAAACATTTATAAGGCTGTTTTTATTCTGATGGACTGATTTGTACCAACTTGACTTTAACTGTGTTTTTCGAGTAAAATAAGTTTTACATTGACAGAAAATGCAACCATGATCTTTGAAATTCTGACTCTTTTGGGTAATTTCACTGCCTTTAGTTTTCTAAGACTGCTGAGTAAAGGGTTTATGTCCGAAAGGTTGAAAGGGTTTCCAAGTTATATCCACCTCCTGTGATTTGCTCTTTATTTATTTCTCTCAATTCCAGAATGATTCACCTGAAGAACGGACGATCCTTTGGTCCTCTGATAAGTGACCGCAGGGCTTTGGTTTTGCATCACACTGTTGTTTTGATTTTCCTTACACAGTGTTGTTGTGGTAAGTTACACACAAGCATAATTATAAGGTCTTTGTATTAGATTGTATATGAATAAAAACAAGTCTACAGTCTACAGCCATGCTAGTAAGAATGCACTTAGTCACAGCGGTGCTTTAAGCAGAATGCTAATTTAAGCATCCTGACATGCTCACAATGACAATGAAACATGCAGATTTTAAGATTAAGATGTGATGTAGGTATTTGGTACACCAATGTATTGAACATACAGAAAGTTGAACTTGATGTCAACACTAGATGAATATTCTGAATAATCAAAGTATATACATTAAATCCTGTGGGAAAGACGATGAATGATGGTAAATAATCCAAAAGCTTGAGCAAGAGGTAAACACAGTCCTCCCTTTCCTCAGGTCAGACTCAGATGATTGCCCGACCTCAGACATTGGTAGCAATGGCTGGTGATGACATCATTTTGCCATGTCAACTGGAACCTGCCGTGGATGCTGTTTCTATGACAACAGAGTGGGCACGAACTGATCTTAACCCAAGATTTGTCCATTTGAGACGAGGCGGTGTAGAATTCCTGATTGACCAGAATCCGTCATATGTGGGGAGAACGTCAGTGTCCATCAACAAACTGAAGTGTGGAGACCTTTCACTGAAACTCTCCAAAGTGAAACTGTCCGATGCAGGAACCTACAGATGCATCATTCCCCCTCAGGAAACAAAATCTGTGGTTGAGCTTTATGTAGGTAAGTGGGCATTAATCCATGGTCCCATCTATAATCATGCAGGGACGATCCAGATGTATGTGATGTGCTTGTAATCAAAGACACAAAAGCAAAGATGTGGATGTTGGTTTAACTCTTTGAAGTAGATGTAGATGTTGCTGGAGCTTGGGTGCCAGCACATACCTCCAAAGAACTTCAGCTTTTTAGTTAACCATAACTAAAATGTTTGGTTTCATTTGCCTAAGCATAAAATAAGTGAAAGAACTCCTTCACACTGTTTTAACTATTGCGGGTCTATTTATTTGTTTAAAACAACTAGGACTAACTACTAACTAAGGACCAGTGTGCAAGTTAGGTTTAGTGTCATCTAGTGGTTGCAGATTGCAAGTCCCTCACTTCACCCTACCCTTCCAAGCGCAGAGGAAAAACTACGGTGGGCAAAGAAATGTGCTTGGATTTTGTAGTCCAACAACATAGTCTGTTCTGGGCTACTGTAGAAACATGGCGGTTCAACATACCATGGTCTGATAAAGGTTTCCAAAAAATATATAAACAGTAAGAGCATTAGGGAAGACAGTCTTACTCTTACTCATCATTCCTTCATTTCTGACAGCTTGTAGTCTACCCAGTAGATAGCTATTTCCAGCCTGTCTTGTTTGTTTGTGGAAGGAGCTTATTGTGAAACATTTATTGTTACGAGGCGACCTCTAGTGACCGTAGTAAGTATGACGGGAGCAAAGGAGGAAGCAAGGTGATGTAGTTCAAGGAGTGTCAAAGTATGGATAGGAAGGAGGTCAGAGTGAAATGTTTAGGTCCAACACACCAGGACATTTACCCAGGAAACCACTAAACCAAGCAGTTT